ACGGCTCCAAGTTTGTTTCTTTCCATCTCCCTGTCGTCGCCTTTTTTCATTGCACTGTTGTGATTGAGGAACTTTTTCTGGGTGAAGATGTGCGGCAGAGGCAATTGTCCATTGAAGAGCTACGCACTCGCTGTCGCTCAATTTTCGTCCCTTGCTCAGCGTACACTCCTGCCATTTACACTTGGGGTCAACTCTGGGTGCTTCCATCTAGTCTTCCACGACCTGTGGCTTCGTGGTCTGCGCTTGCTGCTCGTCTGTGTGCCGCACGCTGTGTGGTGTCTGCCTCAGCCTCAAAGGCGAGTTTTCGTCGCATTTGGGATACGTGTACTGAGACCATTGTCTCCACTCAATCAACCACGCTCATATCCTGTCGGGCATTTGGACGGCAGTGGTCTCTCACGGTTCCGACTGAAGACGGTGTCACAGTACGTCTCCTCGTTGAAGATTTGTTGCAGCAACTGCCTCCAGATAGTGCTCAGATGCAGCAGCTGTGGAACCGTTTGTGTGAGCAGCATGCTGTTGCTTCACAGATCAGTATTCCAACTGCAGTTGCTTATGATTCACAAGCTTGGACATACACCGTTGTTCCGGGAGCCTGGGAACCCTGTGCATATGCATCGGATGCTGCAGCAGCTCGTGTTGCTTGTGGAGCGCCAGAGGCACGTGCCAAGTTTTGGTGCCGGCTTTGTGATTGGACTGGTGACAGCCCCGAGACTTGGACAGCTCATCTTGGGCTCCATGGTGGCGCTGTCGCATATCGTCAGGCTTTGCTGGCTGCAAATGGGCGTGACTGGCCGCAAGCCGTGGATCCAAAGGAGATGCGTCACTGCATGAGTAGCTACACAGAGCGTTTTCATACTACTTTGGCTTCTCCCGCACGACTTTGTGCGTGTTGCGCATGTGAGCCCTTGCAGCCAGATATGGTCCAAACACATGACCTCCGGGCCGGCGTCTTCGATCTGTCTTCCTTACACAAGCTTCTCTCAGCCCAAGCATATCAGTCGCGGCTTCATTCACTCTACACTGACTGTTCGGCTGCGTTCCTGGGTCTACCCCTGGAAATCCTGACCGCCTGCGGAGTTGCGGTGCCACAGATTTTGTTGCCTGATTCGAATGTTTTCTCTGCCCCCAATGATAGATGGCTCTTGCATTTGGCAGCAGAAGCTCGCGTGCACTGGAATGTTGCGGCAGCTTCGCTCGGAAGTGCTCTATATCTTGATCTTTGTTCGTCCTGTTTCGCTTCTCTGTCACGACAACTACCACGCTTACCATCACAAGGTCTTGCCAATGGCAATCTGTGTCCACCACTCCCGGCCTCCTTGCAGAATTTGACACTTGCAGAGACACTTTTCATCTCTCGTGGGTTCACGGTTCATCGTTTGCACACTTTGCCCGGACGAAGTGCTCCCGAAGACAGACAACGCGCACTCCGCGGCAACGTCATTTCTTTTCCACAGAGTGCGGCCGAGATTTTTGCACGTCTGCCGCGGTCGGTTTCGAGTGCCGCTGAGATGCTCACTGTCTTGTTCCCAAGTGAGGATTTGCGCGATTTGTCTCACTGCCCAGAGTACCATGTGCGTCGTCAACGCGTCTTCGACGCCCTCTCTTGGCTTATCTGGCACAATCCGTACTATGCCGATGTGCTCCTTGATCACACTGCATTGTCTACGCTGCCAGAGAATGGGCCTCTTTGCAATGTTGGTCATCATGCGCCGGCAACGGACATTGCCGCGGACCTGGGGCCAGCAGATGCCCAACAGAGCACTCCTTCCGTTGCGCAGATGCCGTTGGTCGCCGCAGTTCTGGACACAGAAGGATCAAGTCTCATGCCAGCTGATTTGTGGCGCCATGCCCTCAGGCCTCCAGAGGCAGAAATGGACCATGTTGTGGCTGTGCCGCATGGGTCGGCTCCTCTGAACAGCTTTGACCCTGGATATTGGACATTCTGCTTTCCAACCTTATTTCCATACGGTGATGCTCTGCCGTCTTGCCCTCGACTCACGCGATTGCCACTTCGAGTTTGGGCTCGGCACTTGCTTTTGCGGCGAGACCGTAGTGCTTCCGAGAGGCCTTGGGCTATGGATTTGCATTTCTTAGCTACGCTCTTTGGAGTTTTGCACCGCAAGGATTTGCTCCAAGCTGTGCGAGCCAAATTTTCTGCTCCTGGCTTTGCACGAGAACTCCGCGATCTTCCTGGGCTGGGTCTGGAGGATTTTGATTATCTTGCGCTCCTCTTGCGGAACTCTGGGAGCGTCCGTCAAGCTCTACGCAACTAGTCTGAGTCATCATAAACGATATATATATATATACATACGTATGATTACATTTCGCCAGTACATAGCGGTCGCCTGTGATTTCACGGTTGTGCACCTCTCTGTTTTTGTAGCTTCATCCTGTCAATATATATGATATATGATATTCTCTGTTGCATGTGAGCTGTATTTTCCGCCGCTTGGAACGAACACTTGTCAGGACATCCTGACCTGCCACATCGACTCCGTGCTGTTCTGCAGAGCATGCAGCTTGTCGCTCGCAGCATACCGTGTACTAATGCCTTCCGTGAGAATATGCGGCATGAGCTGCGAGCGTTGCAGCTGTGGCATGGTTTACCAAGTCTCTTTGTGACGCTGAATCCTGCTGATACTAAGCATCCATTCACACTGCGCTTTGCATCCGATAGTGTTTGGGCTGGGTTAGATGAATCAGGTTCGTTCGATGCTGCCTTATCTGCAGTCATGTCACGCGTGCATCTCGCACATGCTGTGGCTGTTGATCCGATCGCGACTGCTCGTGCCTTTCATCAGCATGTCCTTTGCTTTTTTGCAGATCTTTTGGGCATTCACCTGGCGCCTCAGCAGCTGCCAGCAGATGGTCTTGCAACTGCTTTTGGGCATGGAGTGCTCGGGCCCATTGCAGCAGTCTATGGTATCACAGAACCGCAGCTACGTGGAAGTCTGCATCTTCACATGCTCGTCCATTTGTATGGCTTGCATACGATCGAAGCACTCCTGCGACGGTTTCGATCACGCTTGCCGGAGCTGCGCGCCAGACTCATTGCTTGGAGCAACAGTATTCTTGGTGCTTCTTTGGAAAGTTTACCTGCAACCTTGCACACTCCGGAAGCAATGGAGACTTTCCAACGCTTGCAGCCGCTGCCTTTCTCTCAGCGGCAAGAAGCGGTCCTCCATGCCCAACTCGGAGCATCCTGGGATTTTCAGGTCGCGGGCACCCACTGGAGACTGGGCCAGTTGCCTTTGGTGCCTGCGTGTGCACCGTGGTTTGACCCTTGCTCTGATGCTGCCAATGGTGTTCCAACTTTTGTTCCGTGGCCTCGCACATACTTGTGTGTCGAAGCGGCGCTATCTGCCGAGACCTGGACTTCCATGCTGTTATATGACCTCCGTCATACTGCAGTCCACAGCTGCTTGCACGATTGTCGTCCACGGACTTGCCACAAAGGGCGTTTGGGGAAAGCAGGTTTCTGTCGACTTGGCTTTTGGCATTGGCGCGATGTTGCCCCATGGACTGCGCCTGACACTTGGCAGCGTTGTCATGGTCTACCACTGCAACATCAAACTACGGTGGACTCTTCCGCGTCGACTTCTGGCACCCGGGGTCAACTCCTTCCGGAACGACATCATCCATTTCATACGCGCTTCAACACCAGTTCCTTCATTTGCACTTTTCTCTTCTTTTGTTACTCGTTGTCTAGTTCTGAGCATCTCTTTCGCTGGTCTGGACTTTTGTTCTATTTACTGAATTTCAAACTTGCTCTTGCTGCGCTCAGGCATTCTTGCATGTTGCAAATGCAACCATGATGTCACTTTGTTGCTCCGGGCACCACCAGCGAGCGACCAAGAAGACTCCGATGCCAGCCTGGCAGCGAGTATGGCGGCGTCGGCTAGGGCCGCGTCGTACTACATCAGTGCATACATTACGAAGACGCATCCACATCTGTCGAACTTGTGGCTTTTGTTGCGCTCTGGACATGAGCGACTTCAAGAAGAGCTGCGGACCCACGCGCAAGCAGACAATGCCTCTTACGTCGCTGCTCGCACTCTCACGCGGATGTTGACTTCCGCGGAAAAGAGTTCGCACAAGTCGATGGCTGAGATTTCCCATTACCTCTTAGGCTTTCCAGAAGCTTATGCGACGCACTCCTTCAAGAAACTGTATGTCACCAATTTGGTCAGTTGTGCGCTGCAGCTTTTGCCTGTTGTCAGCATCGAAGAACAAGAGCCTCAATCGACTTTCTTTCTGCATCATCTCCAGTCTGACCCAACTGTCGGAGAAGGTGAGCAGCTCGAGCATTTCTCTGTCGTCACAGGACATCAAGAGCAGGATTACTTGCATCGTGGCGAGGCACTGGCAGCCTGGCCACTCTATTTCTACGTTGCCGCCTTCGAGCGGTGCACTGCCAGTCGTCTGCCAACAGCCAGTGCGTACGCGCACTATGCGCCATCGCATCCACAAGCGACTCGGGCCGTACAGCGCTTGCGCCTCGATTCCCCTTGGGTCATACCGCAGCTCTGCGGGATCAATCTACCTGCACCTGACCAAGATTTGGAATTGCACTGTCTCATGTTGCTTTTGCTGTTCAAGCCATGGGCCCAAGCAGATCTTGGCGACCTTCTGCCTGTTCTCGGCGGCCGCCGGTCTCCGACCTGGAGCTCCGCATTGAACCACTATCGCGAACAACTCACGGCCATTGTCGACGCATCTCCTCCAGGTACTCGCGCTGCACCTTTTACGACACTGTACTGGGCCCAGCGCTGCTTGGCAAGGTCCCCTGTGCAGTTACGTCATGACAAGATGTTGAGGGAGCCCAGGGTTAATCCCCCCCAGAGGCAATGTATGATTCCTCTTCTGTCCGTGTGTTTGGGGCCGACGGGCGGCTCTGCGTATTTAAATTTGCAGTTCCTTCATCGGCAGGATTACCCCAGCGCTGAAGCCTGTACGGGACCCCTCCGCAGAGCACCGCAAAACAGCCCGCTAGGCCACGAGGAACAAAAGAAGCAGTGGGCCTCCAGTAACGAACCTTCCACGTAAGGCCAGCCAAACCCTCTATGTAAGGCCAGCCAAGGCCGCCACATAAGGCCAGCCAAGGCCTCCACATAAGGCCAGTCAAGGCGCCCACGGAAGGCCTGCCCAGGCTTTCACGTAAGGCCAGCTAAGGCCTCCACATAACAAGGCCAGCCAAGGCCCCACATAAGAAGGGCATGCCTCCATTAAGGCCAGCCACGGCCTCAACATAAGGCCAGCCCAGGCCTCCAACTAGGGATCGTCAGCGGGGGAAGAAGACCCTGTTGCGCTTGATCTAATCCAACTTGGCGAAAACTTCTAGGAAATGCTTTTCCGTATGTATTTTCCACGTGTTTTACTGGCTGGGCGGCCCGGCAGATCCTTAACGAAACTACATTGACATTCTTCGGCCGTTTTCAACTCGCATGTTTTCTTGCAGTCACCGTTTGCATTGCTTCCATTTTCTTCATGCCTTTCCTTTTGCTTTTCCTCCTCTGAGGCTGTTTGCGCTTGATGAGTAATGTCGTCGCTGTTCTGTCCCCTCATGGGTTGCATTTGCCTCGCTTCACAGCACCTGGCACTGAGTGGCATGGTGCGGATGCACGGGTGGATTCCTCCGTCCCATCTGAAGATGAAGATCTTGCATCCACGTCGGAGGTCGAGCCTGAAGATGCGGAGATTATGCATTTGGTCGGTAGTGTTACGACAGAGAGGTCCTTTGTGCTCTCGTGGACGGCGCTCTCCGGCGCGGTGCGAAACGCAGCTTTGGATGCACGCACACCTGCTCAGATCAACTTCACGAGACAGTTCATCGACTGTCTCTCCAACATGTTAACGCCGCCTCTTGCGGCCGGAGCCACTGTCACTTGTTCTGTGCGCACCGTTGCCGCATCTTTCTTGGCCCAGCTGCGGCATGATGCACGGAGCGGATTCGATGAGCACCTCCTTGATGCTGATGATGACGTTGCCTCTGCCTTTCCGATACCCATAGTGCCTCCCTTGCGAGCAATGCATAATGCCCCACCTACTGTCTTTCATTTGATCGAAGACCACATATTGACAGGCAACTGCAACACTCGAGAAAATACATTGAATTGCAAACAAGCACTTTTTCTCGTTGTCTTTGGCATTGCGTTGCATGTGTCTTGGCTGCACGTTACAGGGTCTCTTTATTGCATCTTTTTCCGTGTCACGCGCTACCTTTCTCATGCGCTTTTGCAGTGAGGAACGAACTGTTGCTGCCAATGAGATGGATCCATCTTCTGCGAGTCCTCAACAGCAGTTACTGCTTCTCGGTGGCCCTGGCACTGGGAAGACTCACGTTCTCAAATTTGCTTTGGCTCTTCAACATCATTTCTTCCCTGGCAGTGTTCGCAAGTGCGCTTTCATGAATAGCGCCGCACGCTTGATTGCAGGGACTACATTACATTCTGCCTTGAATCTTGGCCTTGACGCCGGCACACGCAGAGCCCGCAGAACTAGTTCGCAGACAGAGAATCTTCTTGAAGCATGGAGACCGACCCTGCTCCTCGCTGTGGACGAGGCGTCCATGTTGTCTGCAGAGTTGTACAGCCAGGCTGAAAATCAAATTCAAATTTTAAAAGGTGTTTCCACAGTCCCTTGGGCCGGGCTCACTCTGCTTCTGTCGGGGGACTTTTGCCAGCTTCCACCGGTTGCTGCGACTTCTTTGGTGTCTCCCGCGCCTCCGGCTCCTGCGCCAACAGCCTCGGCTTCTGTGCATGCGAGGCACGTCCATACACTACGGGGCCTCGATCTGTGGCAGCAAGTTGATCGATGTGTTCAGTTGACTTACACTCATCGCACGCATGGATTTCTACAACAAATTCTAGCTGCCATGCGCGCAGGTCACATTCCTACAGCCTTATGGCAGCAACTACTGACTCGTGTTGCGTCGACACACGATGAGCGTCTTCTTGCTCCACACTTTTGGGACTCTGCCGCATGTGTTGGTGTTCTGCGTCACCGGGCTCGCGTTGCGGCGACGCTGCAGCGCGCAGAGGTGCTCGCTCCTGCGTCTGGGCATCGTTTACTCCTCTGCCTTGCCGCGGATCGCTGCCGCAATGCACAAAATCGCCCTCTGATTGCACCATCTTTTCTCGAATGGCTTTGTCGCCTGCCTAATCTCAACCAGACGTGTAACCTGCCTGGTTACTTATGTCTTTGGCCTGGTGCTACTCTGTGTCTTGAACACAAGGTCTGTGAGCGGTATGGTCTCGTGCGCGGTTGTCCAGTGACGGTGCGCGAGATCTTGCTGCATGACTTGGAGCCTGCTTTCGAGGACGATCCCCTTGCAGAACCATTGGTTTTGCAGTATCTTCCTCGCGGTCTTATCGTACATGTTGCTGATGCCAGCTTTTTGCAAAGTACATCTTTGAAGGTAGGTGAATTACTCTTGGAGCCTATTCATCGTTCCTGGTCTTTCTCGCCGTCGATTGAAAACATTCCTGGCCTCGACGACGCTGCGACAACAGCTCTTTGCTGCCAACCTTTGCAAGTCTCTAGGCGTCAATTCCCATGTACTAATACACTTGCCTGCACCGCATATAACCTGCAGGGGCGCACCCTGCCAGCTATGTTAGCGGATCTAGCCGTCCCACCAGGAATGGGACGCGAACCTTGGCAGCTTCAGTTAATTTCCTTGTGAACAAACAAACCTGTGAGTGTGTTCTCGGCACACTGTTTCCTTAATTCTGTGCTGTTTTCACCTCCAAGGATGAATATTGGCTCAGCGTTTACGTTCTGCTGAGTCGACTGCCCGACTTGGAACATCTTCTCTTACTTCGTGCGCCGCGACGCGACTACCTGAACGGCGGCCCTCCTGCCAGCCTGGCAGCCGCCATAAGTCGCTTCGACGCTCTGGAGGCCAACACCTTGCAAGAGGCCGATCGCAAGCTCTGTGCTCTGGGTCTTCATCGGCTACGGCACTTGGTCACCTTGCCTTTGCTCGCTCCTTGCCCCTCACCACGGGCAAAGCGTCCACGTCTTTGAGCTTCGGAGCATCGGCTGCCGTCTCACATCTCCGCGACCGCAGCCAGAATCTGCGCGACATGGCTTGCAATTTTGCTGCGAAGCAACCCTCGCTTCCACGGCGCTTGCTTTTCTTTTTTTGGGGGGAGGGGCTGGTCTCCAATGCCTTTGCAGGCTAACGCTGCTGGCCGAGACAGGCGGGTGCCGCATGACCGGGGCCGAGCGGGAGAATGTGACAAGCCACTACATCACTTTCTACTCTTCTTCGTCGCAGCTTTCCTTGTTTTCCTTTCTACCGGACTGACAAAGAATAGAAACGCAAGGCAATCCTCGGGCAGAGCCAGTGGGCGGAAGTGTCCCCATATGTCACAGACTAACGAACTGAAGCCTCAACATTTCCGTGCGCAGCCCTGGCAGTAAGTAAAGGATTCTCCGATTCCTGTCCCCACTGTCACAGACTAGCAATCTGGGTGGGCACAGCCCTGACAGTGAGGCAACGACCTGCAGCTGCTCTGACGGGCTGCGCAGATGTTTGCAAATGTTACGGCTTCCCGGGGAAAGCGCCAGTGAAATTTCGCGAAAGATCCGCGAAAGTTTCGCGAATGTGCCGCTAAAGTCTAGGTTCCCAGCTTGAGGCCCCCCGACATTCCCCAAGCTGCATCACTGCATGTGTTGGTAGCTGGCACGAGGATTGGGTTCAGTTGTGCCTGACTCTATTTGGCACAATTGTCGAACAGATGCTGCAAGTGACCCTGAGTAGCTGTGGAAACGTTCAACCATCTACTGGGGTCATGCTGCAAGATGTCTCTCCCTATTTTGCGATACTATGACATGTTCCGGCTCATGTTAGCTAGACATGGTTGTAGGACCATGCTTCGCGATGAGGCCGCGAAAGATCCGCGAAAGATATCTTTTTTTCCGCGATGAATGGCCATTCCAGGATGAAAGAATATTGATC